ATTTCCACTTTATTATCGCTTTCTGGTCCACGTGTGATAACATCCTAATGATAGGCATGTCCTGGGACCTAGGTGTCCCGGAAGATGATGCATGCATGGAGTGAACTGGTGCCCAGGAAAGACCTTTATAATCAGATTGTATAAATAACCATAGAAATGCAAAACTTGTGGATAGGACGATGAGGTGACAGGGTCAGTTTTAACTATAATCATTGAGGGACAAGGCCAGGACGGGTGGATGACCATGTGAATGGTGGAAGGAATTTTGGAATTTGTTGTGCGCAGGCTGGGAACCAGAAAAGAGATGTGATAGCATCCTGATGAGGCTGAGGTGTTAACCAATGCTATAATATGGGTAATGTGTCAGGATGCCATTGTTTGTGTTCAACCCACTGTTGATGGATTGGATTGGAGTTTGTGAATATATTACAGTTTTTCTGTTTTTCTTTCTAATCTCCCTTGATAGTTGTTGTTGTTGCTGTTCAAGGACCACTGTCCCAAGATCAGGACAGTAAGACTGAAGTGTTCTACAGCCAGTTTTTGTGCATTCCCATTCCTAATATCTGATTTATGTCCATTTATCCTCTGGCGTATATAACATTAGCGCATGAGCAAGTGCAGTCCTTCCTGGACACCACTTCACTTCATTCATCTGAGGAAGTAGACCAAGTCTGCAAAAGCTTAGGCTACAACTTCTTTCTCACAGGTGCCGCAAGATCTCTCTGCATACTGAAAACCATGCTATTTTTTGTAAATGGTTGGGGGAGCAGCAGAGGCACTTCACATACCACAAAACTGAGCTGTCTGCACTTTTCCCTACCTCAATCTAATTCCCTGCCAGTACAGAAATCCACAGGTAATCCATTCAGCTAATCCACAGGAATCCATTCAAAGCTTCCTCCTCAGCTAAATTACAGCTTTCCATTAATTTCAGTCTCCCTCGCCTCAGCTTTACCAAGGAATGTATGTGTATGGGTGCAGTACAGAAAAAGCACCACTGATGTGCCTGTACTTAGTGTTGCATCATAATTCTTTTTGTGCAGTGTTGTACTCAGGCACAAATGGGCTTCTCCTCACTGGTAAAACACCAGAAAAAAAGACTCTTGGTACATACAATCATATCAAGTTTGCATTTTTTGCAGTGTTGGTTAGCATACATGTGAGCATGGGTGATATGTGGGGCAGGGACAGGTGAGAGAGAAGAAAAACTAATTTTTTTTTCAGGGGTAGCTTTGCTATGCTGGAATCCTCTTGGCAACATAGACCAGTGTAACCATGTGTTATGCCGGCATAACTACTTTTTCTGACATTGCATGAGAAGTTATCTAGTACCTCCTTACACAACATTTTTACTGTGCTGCACATCGAATGCCAGATGATGCCTGGTTAAAAACTTCCAAAGGACACTCCACCATACTCCAAGGCAGCATATTACACTGTCAAACAGCTCTTACTGTCAGGAAGTTCTTCCTAATGTTGAGATGGAAGCTCTTTCCAGAATCCACAAACTGGAATCGACTTCAACTAATGGTGACCCTATGAATGTGAAACCTCCAAGTACCCCGGTTATCAACTGCCCTCTTCAAGGCTTGCAAACTCAGGGCTGTGGCTTCCTTGAAGGAAAAAAATCCACCAGTAATTTTTTCCTATTGTCTTTTACTGTCGAAAGCATTAACATCTTTTCCAGTGAGACGTATTGCTTTGTGATATGGCCAAAGTATGACAACCTCAATTAGTTATCTTTGCTTCTACTGAGAGTTCACGTCTGATTTACTCTAGGACACATTTATTTTTCCTTTTCACAGTGCATGGTATCTGTAGAACTCTTCTCTAGTGCAACACATCAAATCAGATCTGACATCTGTCAGTTGAATGCATGATCAGTCTTAATCTGCTTCTTTCCAAGAATCCTAGGGTTTTTTTTAAAGGAATTCTTTCTTTCTTTCTTTTGTTTTTTTTTTTAAATAACTACGTTGATTGAAATGGAGATTTAAAACCATGTCACCTTGCTCTCAGGTTTGTGTTTAATGTAGAGTGAAGGTGCCCACCATTTCCTTAGTATCTCCATCACGCCTCTCTTTCTACCCGAGATTGCATTGTTTGGCTATTTTGTCCCATAAATCACATTAATATTCCAGCCCCGTGAAATGAGTTGGTAATGGGTCTGTCACTTGTCATCTGCTGGCTACTGCTTGTCCTTAAAAGCGTTGAAGAAGATGACAGCCGACGTGAGCAATTTTCTTCCCACTTCCCGACTGACCAGTCAGTTTGTCCCAGTGAGGCTTGGCAAAGGTTATTTTGCGAAGGGCTGGATTAAAGATAAAGCTAAGGATGCCATAGTTGGGAAGGAAAGGTAATACCCTGTGCAAGATGGTTTGGAGGCTACAGAGTTACACTGAGTGCAGTCAGGATCAGTTTCATAGGGTTTTCAAGACAGGAGTGATTTACCAGTGCCGCCTTTTGTTCAGTATGGGATGCAGTGGCTCAAGTGGTTAAGACGCTGACTCTGTTGGTTGCAAGATCGGCAGGTTGGCAGTTCGAGGCCCGGGTGCTGCATGATGGGGTGAGCTCCTATCACTAGTCCCAGCTTCTGCCAACATAGCAGTTCGAAAGCATGCAAATGCAAGTAGACAGATAGGTACCACTTCAGTGGGAAGGAAAACAGCGTTCTGTGCAATCCTGCTGGCTCCAGGATCACAGAGTAGTCTCTGACAATGCTGGCTCATTGGCTTAGTAATGGAGATGAGTAGTGCCCACTATGGTTGGACATTACTTGACAACCTTGTCAACAGGGAATACCTTTACCTTTACCTTTTCTTTTGTTCAATACCATCTTCTTTATGTTTAGCTATGGTGCCACTGCTGTTGTCCCTGAGAAATCCACTACCAGTGCCACCCTCCATTATGACTGCTGCCCAGTAGCTGTTTGGCACATTTAGGGCATCTCTAGACAGGCCAAACAAACCAGTTTTCCCACACCCTCATTCCACTATATATTCAGTATATATTCAGTATATATTCACTATATATTCAGTATCCACTATATATTCAGCCCCACTTCGAGTGCTGACTGCCTTCGGGACATGAGACCAGTTCCTCACCGAATCTGGCCCATCTCTCCATTAAACCAGATCCAAATTATTTACTTATGTGCACTTTTGTATGTTTTTTAATTGTACTGTTTCAGTCTGTAACAGTATTCCATGCAGTCATGCCGGCCACATGGCCACAGAATTGTCTATGCCGATGCTGGCTCCCTTGACTTTGTAATGGAGAGGAGCACCGCCCCATACAGTTGGACACAACTGGACAATCTTGTCAAGGGAAAACCTTTCCTTTTAACCTTAACAACAACAACAACTTATTAGATTAAAAAGACTCTGAGGACACAACGCAGTACCCAGCCATATGATCAATACTGGGTGCCCCATTTTTTATGTCGGACAGCCAGGTGGCACAGTGGGACATGTATATAGATGGCTGCCTGGTGTTGCTCTGGACAGTGGAGGTAACGGAGGGGAATTCAGGGCGGCTCTAGAGCCAGAATAATTCGGGAGCAACCAAAAGTAGCCTGGCCAGTGTAGACTTGTCCTTAGCAAAAGCCTCTTTGACATGGGAGACCCTACCAGCAACAGTGCAATGCCACTGTCAGCACACAGTCCCATCACCAGCATCGAAAGGTAGTGCCAAAGTGGTTTTTCTCTTTACCTTGGCTCAGTCATTGATCAAAATGGAACCTGCTAGTCAAGAAATGAGAAGAGGACACAGACTTGGAAGGACAGCCATTGAAGGAACAAGATAAATTCCTTAAGCATAAAGAGTCTCCCTTATCCAAAATACTTGGGACCAGAAGTGCTTTGGATTTTGTAGTTTTTCGCATCTTGGAATATTTGCACGTTTGTTCAAAGATATAGCTGTGTTGGTCTGTGGAATCAGAATGTAGAGAGCTCTTGTATCACCTTTGAGACCAACTGAAAGAAAGAAGTTGGCAGCATGAGCTTTCCTAGACTTCAGTCTACTTCCTCAGATGCTTTTGGTGGCATGGAAATGGCTAAACTTTAGATGGCTAAATTGTGGTTGTCATCCTTTAGCATATAATGACATGACGGTACCCATTGGAAAATATGATAATGCTTGGTAAAGTGGAAGGCAGTAGGAAAAGAGGAAGACTGCATTACAAATGGATTGATTCCATCAAGGAGGCCACAACCCTGAGTTTGCAAGACCTGAGCAGAGCTGATAATGATGTGGCTCTTGGAGGTCTGTCATCCATAGGGTCACCATAAGGAGAGCCAGCGTGGTGTAGTGGTTTGAGTATTGGACTACAACTCTGGAGACCAGGGTTCAAATCCCCACTTGAGCATATAAACCCACTGGGTGACCTTGGGCAAGTCACACTCTCTCAGCATCAGGGGATGGCAATGGCCCCCCCTCCCACAAAACTTGCCAAAAACAAACCTTGTGATAGGTTTGCCTTAGGGCCACTGTAAGTCAAAAATGACATGGAAGCACACAGCAACAAGGAGAGGTCAAGATGATGGGAAATAACATCAAAGAAGTCAAGATCAGAATGAGCAATTAACTATTACTAGTTACTTGCAATTAATTATTTCCCCTAATGCCCATGTTTACATCACAGTTGCAACTTAATAGGTGATAATGGCTGCATCTGCACTGCAGAAATAATGCAGTTTGACACCACTTTAACTGCCCTGGCTCTATCCTGTGGAATCATGGGATTTTTTGTTTGTTGTGGCACCAGAGCTCTCTGACAGAGAAGGCAAAAAATCTCACCAAATTACAAACCCCAGGATTCTATAGCATTGAGCCATGGCAATTATAGTGTTATCAAATTGCATTATTTCTGCAGTGTGGATGCAGCCAGAGTCATTCCTTTTGCAGTGTAACAGTCCCACAAGAATTCCTTTTATAATTAGGGAGGGTGGCCTCACTAAAGGAAGGAGGAGGAATATCACATGGTTCCAGGGCTGGCTTTTTGGTGTGTAGTTTCCAATGAAATGACAAATCTCCTCCAAGTTTTAATTGGAACTTTAAAGGGTCTATTAGGGTGCTGAGACTTGAAAACGTCCTATTTGAGAGAGAGAGAGTTCAGCACTTTGAGTGGCTCCTTTGGAGTAAAATCCCTACTGACATTGGGACTAAAACTATTGCACTGTTGTGGATGTTGAAGCAATGCTGAATGTGTGGGAAAAGAATTTTTTGGCTCATGGTCTTCTAGCATCCAAGAGTGCATCTACACTGTAGAAATAATACAGTTTGACACCACTTTAAGTGTTGTAGTTCCATTCCCTAGAATCCTGGGATCTGTAGTTTTACAAGCTCTTGAGCCTTCTCTTCCAACGAACGCTGGTTCTCCGCCAAACTACCAATCCCAGGTTTCTGCAGGATGGACCCATGCCAGTTAAAGTGGTGTCAAGTTGCATTATTTCTACAGTACAGATGCACTCCAAGTCTCTCTGTCTGTGAAATATAATAAAATCCAGAATCCCCCAAAGAGTGATGCTTTTATTGGCCAACCAAAGTGTGCATTTGCACAGTAGAAATAATGCTCTTTGACACCATGTCATGGTTCCATCCTCTGGAATCCTGGGATTTGTAGTTTTACAAGTTCATTTGCTTTCGTTGCCCAAGAGTGCTGGTGCCTCACAAAGCTACAAATCCAGGATTTTGTAAGAGGGTGCCATGGCAGTTAAAGTGGCATCCAAATGCATTATTTTTACATGCTCCCCACATGTTTTTTTTAAAGTAACTAAAAATAACTGTCATGAATTCAATGCTAGAGCCGTGTTATCAGTACGTAGAGAGATCTTGTAGCACCTTTGAGACTAACTGAAAGAAAGAAGTTGGCAGCATGAGCTTTTGTAGGTTTCGGTCTACTTCCTCAGATGCATTTACAGTAGCTGTCATGGTTATTTTTGAGAAACTATAGTTATTTTCAACTACTGGGACTCCAGTTATTTTTCTAAAATTGTGCCAATGACTAACTACTAGAGAAGAGAGGCTTGGGATGTTAACGACTATTTTTGATAAGAGGCACTGTGTATGAAAAGCCAACATTTTTGGAAGGAGGAGGAGAGGAAGTGGCCATCATGCAGGTATTTAATAATAATAATAATAATAATAATAATAATAATAATAATAATAATAAAATTTATTTGTATCCCGCCCCCTGACAAGCAATCGGGGCGGCTAACAACAGTTAAAATTCCATACCATGTATTTATACAATCCAAAAGCCCAGAAACCACCCACCCCTTAAAAAAAATATGAAACCAATTTAACAATTAAAACATCTTAATTAAAACATCATTAAATAAACTCGAATAAAATTGAATATTCTGCTGCTCGTTGCAAGCCTTCCACAACCGTTTGCTGTATTCAAAACAACACAACCAATTAAAAATATAATATCCAATCCAAACATAAGGAGGGCAGCAGAGACAAATGCAGCAGAGAAAAATGCACAGATGGGTTGGATGTTTTGAATGTTTTCTTTTAAATATTGTGAAGAAGAATGTATGGTGCTTGAAAGACAATAGCATTAGCCCCAAGTGCACTTCTGTTTTCGTAAGATCATCCAGGGATGACAAGAGAGTATATGAAGAATTCAAGGGCTCTTCAGACGCTCCCTTTGATAGGAAGGAAGTTGAACATTTGCAGCTGGAATATTGTTCGTGACTTCTTGTTGTAATGTATACCTTCAAGTTGTTTCTGACTTATGGCAACCCCAAGGCGACACTCTCCTAGGGTTTTCTAGGCAAGATTTGTTCAGAGTGGGTTTGCTGTTGCCTTCCTCTGAGGCTGAGAGAGTGTGACTTGCCCAAGGTCACCCAGTGCATTTCATGGCTGGGCAGGGCTTTGAACCCTAGCCTCCCAGAGTCTTAGTTCAACACACAGACCATTACACCATAATGTGTTGTTACATTCCTTCACATCATCTCCATGTGATGGCAATGGGGTTTCCAGAGTTTTCTTGTCAGTGCTTTCCTCTGAGGTTGAGAGAGTATGACTTGCCAAGCTCACTCATTGGGTTTCCCTGTTTGAGTGGTGATCTGAACTCTGGTCCAACACTCAGACCACTACATCGCATTGGCTCTTGTTAGTGACTTACGCACGCGTAAATTTCCATAGAGATGTGAATGAACTTTTTTGACCATGGCATCATGCCTTCATTCAGTTGAAGGTTATGGATACAGAGTTGAAAATGTGGTGTCATTGCATGTGCAGGTGTGCATTGTTTATTGCACATGGAGGTATGCAACGAACATTGTAACTGTGCATTTTATATTTGTTTCAACGTTCACTTATGCAGTGTCATAATTCACTAAAGGGGACATTTAGATTTGCATCACCCTGTGTGTGTCGGGTTGCACTCTTTCTCCTTGATGCAGGATCATGGCCTTCTTTATTATATGTCAGTTTACTTATAATTTCCCTTATGTTGCCCTGTCATTGAGGATCTTAGAGTAAGGAAAGTGCTTGAGACAGGAATGCAAGAACATACTCATGAAATACTCATGGAGGCCAGAATTCTGTTGGTAACCCATGTTAAGGTGACTTAACTGAAGCTGGAGCAGGCGCTGTTGTCAAAATTTCCATCTCAGTAAAACCATTAAGACTCAGAGGCCCGAGAGTTCCTTCTTTCAGCAATCCAGGCTGTGGAAAATTCTCTTAGGGATCATTCACACTCGCAAAAAAAACAACTGGTTTTTGAGTCGAATAGATCTGGGATCACAGAATCGATTTGAAACGGAATGAAGTTCACACTACATTTTCCATTACCAAATGCCTCTGTGTCTATTTAACATAGTTCACATTCACACTTACTTTTGCACTGCAACAAAATAATTTTCAATCTAGGACGTGTTTGATCCATCCTGGGTCTTTTTTTAAAAAAATGTCATTCATATGATGCACATGTGCGTGCTTCCGGTCACGCAAGCACTTGGAGGTATGGCCGCGTGCATCAGCTGTCGCTATTTCCATGGGCCTCTGTGTGTGTATAGGCCAATGCAGATGTCCAAGAAGGGGCAGCTCTGGGCCGCCCCTGGGAACGGTGGATTGGGGCTGCAGCAATCACACGTCACGGACCCAATCCTCCTTTTTGCCGCCCCGAAAGAGTGGCAAAATGCTGCTCCTTTTGGGGGTGGCAAAAGGCCACCC